CACTTTTGAGCCACAAAATTTGAGCTACGTAGCATTGTCGAAACAAAAATCATAGGCCAATCATTTGTTTTTACCATTAATATTTATCATATATAATGTATATGACGTGGCACTCCATAACGAGATATATTGCTCCGTTTAGTAGAATTATGAAAAAATGATTATAGATTATAACTTAACATATTATAATTTATAACTGTGAACATAGACTTTTAATCTGTTTGGTGCAATTGTGAGATTATGAATTTAAGCAGTAAAATAGTGTTTGGTTGATAAGCTGTAAAATAACTTTTTGATATGTAATTGCTCTTTTTACCCTTATATAATATAAAAATAATTATTTTGTCATTTTTTCAGTTTTAATTTTTTAAAAAATTATTTCATTAATAAAAGTTAATATAAGTAGTATTACATAAATTATTATTTTCATTTTTTCATTATAAATCAATTAGCATAAAATTATTTCATTATTTCATTATAAATTAATTAGTGTCAATTAATGGCTTATTTTCATTTTTTCATTATAAATTATTATTTCCAATTTTTCTTTATAAATCAATTAGTATAAAATTATTTCATTTTTTCATTATAAATTAATTAGTGTCAATTAATGGCTTATTTTCATTTTTTCATATAGATTATTATTTTTATTTTTTCATTATAAATCAATTAGTATAAAATTATTTCATTTTTTCATTATAAATTAATTAGTGTCAATTAATGGCTTATTTTCATTTTTTCATTATAAATTAATTAGTGTCAATTAATGACTTATTTTCATTTTTTCAATAAATATAAAATTTATTTCATTCATAGCTAAAATGCTTTATTATTATTATTTTTTGATTAAAAAAATACTAAAAACCTCCACACACACACACAAAAACTGAAACCCTAGCTCCAGCAGGCACAATGGTGATGAACCGGTGCTAGGGTTTGAAATCGCCTCGCACGGCTGATCGCGATGGGGGATAGGGGACGACGACGGAGGACGACGATGGAGGCACAAAGAGAGAGAGAGAGAGACCAACAACAAGAGACAGAGAGAGAGAGAGAGAGACAGATCGCGATGGCGAGAGAGAGAGATAGATTGCAACGGTTCAGAGAGAGAGAGAGAGACAGATCGCGATGGCGACGAACCAACGTCAGAGAGAGAGAGAGAGACAGAGAGAGAACGTCGCGACGAACCCACGCCAGAGAGACAGAGAGATAGAAAGAGAACTCCTTGAAATCTTAGCCGAAAATAGTCGCCGAAAATTGTCTCTCAAACGCCGGAAATCGCCTCTCACGCTTTCTCTGGACGTGAACAGTGCTTGAATGTCAAGTTCATATAGTTGTATTTCGATAATTTCTAAAATTTTGAAGGTGCATTTAAGTCATTTCACCCTTCTATAACTAGCTATGCGCATAAGCTCAAAAAAAAGCCGCCTCCAAAGCAGCTTATAACTTTTAACTCAACATCAATTAATTTAAGTTATAATCTATCTCTCGTAAGCTCAACCAAACACTCTTAAATGACTTATTTTAAGCCAAAAGCTTATTTAAGCTGCTTATAAATTGTACCAAACGGAGCTATTGTATCATATCAATGGTAATAGAATGAGAAATTCTAAGAAGTCTAATTCTACATTATTTGGAAATCATGATTGTACAATTTTGCGATCTGCCCCAAGCAAAAATGCCGGGGCTTTTCCCATATTAAGCCTCTTTTGCATCTTATTTCCCAAACTATGCCTAGTTTGGACGGATTTCTCAATCTAGGCTAAAGCGCTATTACAAATCGCGCTTTCACTATTTGGAGCCCAAAATTTGATGAATAATGAAAGCGCTATTGTAAAACGCGCTTTTAATTAATAAATCGCTGTTTCAAATAGCGCTTTTAACATAAAATTTTTTTTCTAAAGAAAATAGCGTTTTTACTGTGCATATAAATTTTTTTTTTTTTTTAGAAAACGTTGATTGTGATTCACGCTTTCACTGTTCATATAATTTTGTTAAGAAAACGTGATTCACAATCACGTTTTCACTGTTCATTAATGAAAGCGTGGATTGGAACCACGCTTTTACAACTTATATAAAACACAGAAAAGCCCTCATTTGCAACCACGTTTTTATACTTATTTCGATCTCCTCCCTCTCAGACGACTCCTCTACTTGCTTGAGCTCTCCCTCTGCTCTCTGATTCACACTCTCGCTCTCCCTCTCCCTCTGCTCTCACTCTCTGTCTCTGCTCTCTCTCTGTCCGTGATATGGCATCTATCTCTCTATGTCTCATTTCAATCTTATGTGTTTATTGTGTTTGTGAATGTGTGGTTTTGAATTTGAAATTAGAAATTAGGGTTATGAAATTATAAATGTGTTAGGCTTTTGAATTATGAAATGTGTAACGCCCTCAAAATAAACCCATTATAAATACATCATTGACATGCAATATTAAAAGAAAACAATTCATTATCTCATTCATCAGAGTATTACTAAATAAAAACATTACATGTAACATCAAATTAAATGCCCTACGGGCTTACATCTTTCCAAGCCAACACTTGGACGCAAAAATATGAGTTCTAACTCAAATACAAATAAAGCCCTAGGCTTGAATGTTTACATGTACTAATAATTAAATCATTTTAGGTTATAAATGGTTTGATTTAGGAAAAATTTTTATAATCAAAAAATAATTTATAAATTACAAAAATAATTTATAATACGTATGTATTTACTTTAAATAATTATATATAATACTATTATTATATATATAATTTTTATATATTTACTTTAAATAAATTATTAATTAATAATTAATAATTATTTTATAAAATAAATTAATTAATTAAAAAATGTATTATTTTATAAAATATTATTAATAAAATTTATTTAAATATTTTTACATTTTATAAAATAATTTATTTTATAAAAATAATTATTATATATTTATTAATAATTTATTTAAAGTACATATATAAATATATAAAAATTATGTATATATAATAAATACATATGTATAAAAAAATAATTATTTAAGTAAATATATAAAAATATATATATAATACATACGTATTATATATAATTTATTTAAAAGTAAATACATACGTATTATAAATTATTATAAAAAATTTTATAATACATACTGATTATAAATTATTTTTGGTAATTAATAAATTATTTTTATTATAAAATTTTTTTACCCTTACATACAATGTATAAAACAAACCATCCATAACTTAAAATGATTTATATTCTCTAAACGAAAATATAAAAAATATATAATTTATTATTATAAAATATTATTATATATATAACAATTATATTAATTTCAATGCTTCAGAGTGGGTTGGGGTGTGGTGTAGTGCGTATGTCAGACGGGTGGGTTGGTTTTGGTTTGTGTTTTCAATAGTAGAAATGCTATTTGAAATAAACGTTTTTCTATAAAAAAAAAAAAAAATTATATGCACAGAAATAACGCTATTTTCTTAAGAAAAAAAAATTATGTTAAAAGCGCATATTTGAAACAGCGAATTAATTAATTAAAGCGCGAATTATTACTCTAGCCTTTCATTATCATCAAATTTTGGGCTCCAAACATAGTGAAAGAGCTGATTCTGTAATAGCGCTTTAGCCTAGATTGAGAAATCCGTCCAAAACTAAGCATAGAATTTGGGAAATAAGATGTCAAAGAGGCTTAATATGGGAAAAGCCCCGGCATTTTTGCTTGGGGCAGATCGCAAAATTGTACAATCATGATTCCAAATAATGTAGAATTAGACTTCTTAGAATTCTCATTCTATTACCTTATATTGATAAATAGCTCCGATTCTGGTACAATTTATAAGAACAGCTTAAATAAGCTTTTTGGCTTAAAATAAGTCAATTTAAGAGTGTTTGGTTGAAGCTTACGAGAGATAGATTATAACTTAAATTAATTGATGTTGAGTTAAAAGTTATTAAGCTGCTTTGAGGCGGCTTTTTTGAGCTTATGGCCATAGCTAGTTATAGAAGGGTGAAATGACTTAAATGCACCTTCAAAATTTTAGGAAATTATCGAACATACAACTATATGAACTTGACATTCAAGCACTGTTCACGTCCAGAGAAAGCGTTGAGAGGCGATTTCCGGCGTTGAGAGACAATTTTCGCGCGACTATTTTCGCTAAGATTTCAAGGAGTTCTCTTTCTATCTCTCTGTCTCTCTGGCGTGGGTTCGTCGCGCGACGTTCTCTTCTCTTGTATCTCTCTCTCATAGCCTGGTTCTCTGTATCTGCTACTGTCCTCCATCTCTCTGACCGTTGCCATCCACTTCTCTCTCTCTCTCTCTGGACACCTTGCGATCGTAGGTCTCTCCTTCTTCTCTGTCTCTTGGTGTGTCTCTCTCTCTCTCTCTCGTGTCTCTTGTTGATTGGTCGCTCTTCTCTCCTCTTTGTGC